AGGCAGAAGCATATTTTACTTACTAAGCTATAGTTTTTGCCTATTAATTAATGATACCTTATTTAGGTTGTATTACTTATTTTTACTCTCACTAAGAACAGCTGAATATGAACTGTATTAAATTCTAGATTCAAAATATAAGCAAGGATCCTACATGAAACTTCTCTTTTCCCCCAGTTGTAAACTTTTTAGGGATTAGTAGTGGGCTATAGCTTATAAACACTATGATCATAGTTCAAAACCCCAGCATCTTTATCTGTGTTTGCTGACTTTGTTTACATCAAGTAGAAGCATTTCCTATTATTTTCTTGTGTAACATAATTCATTTATTCAGCTGGATTATAATTTAGTTATTTAGCTGCTGGAATTGCATGTAAGGAAAGAAAAAGGGCTGTGAATACCCTTTAAAATGGGATTTATGCTACTTTATATCTAGTATTAGAATAATAACCTTGCATGTATATTTACAACATGTGAATATTTCATAGACGTGGGTAGATAGCTATAAGTCTTTCTTCAGTCCAAATGGCACATTTGGGATCCTTAAGAGTGTGTGAGCATTGCAAAACCTAACTGCTAGATGATCTTGCAGCTATTAATTTCTCAGCTTTTGGTGAGTATATGCCTGAAGTCTGAGAAGAAATGTTTTTAAAGAAGAGGACCTTAGACACAGATTCTGTGGGCACAGTCAAGCAATTGGCTAATGCAAAATATAGAAGAAACAGTTTCTGATGCTGGGGTTACCTAGGATATCCCTTTCTCTAGCCAGTGAAATTGAGGTTAGGCCAAGCAGTTACGCTTCTTCAGTTTCTGTCCTCTGGCTCAATGGATTTTAATTTCTGTCCTATGAAATGGTGTCCTTTGGAACAGCAACAGGCTGTGAAGGAAGCTGGACCCAGCTCCATTTCCTGGGTAGGTGCAAGGGCTGCTGCTAACTGCAAGCGAACACAAAGTGGAATGGTGGAGGATTTCATTTGCACTCAGCTCCCCGTTGTATGATTTTGCTTAGCTCCAAAGGCACAGGCTGAGGGTGCTGGTAGTTCTGGGTTTAATCGTTAGCTGCAGATTTTTACCCATGCCTTCTGTGTTGTCTTAATACCTATCCTGGTCCTATACTGTAAGCTAGACATGTACTGCTTAAGCGTTACACTTGCAGCATGTTTGCATCATCTGAGTCAGATTAGGTCTTCCCCCTGCTAAGAAGTGTGACTCTCATTGCAGTAGTTTGCAGAGAGAAACCTCGTATCTGAGCAGTGTAACTTAATTAATATGGGACACTATTGAGATAATGCCTTTAGCTAAAATTGAGTCCATGCCTTTACATGCTGCTCTATGTGGGTTTGCCAGCTCAGATCTCTGTTTGCTCAGGGATCTCTTTCGTGATGCAGAAGTCCTGTATCTGCTTATTCTACTCCAAATATAGACACCGAATAAAGGATGGTGTTGCTGCCTACAGAACATGCTGGTAAGGTCTGAGAATACTGATTTATCTGGGCTAAGGGAGTTTAAAGCAAGGAACAATTTACCAACCCTTATTATTAATGTGATTTCATAATTTAATTTTTTTTTATTTTCAAGAAGTTGCACTTATGTTGAAGAGGGTACAACAAGGTAACTGAAACCTCTTGTGCAGTTGAAATTAATTTGGAGCATGATTCCCGCAGTGTTTGATGTACTCTAGATCAAACGCAGAGTGATACTGTTATATTGAAATATTTACTTTTAGGAAAGATGAACATACATGACTGAACCATCGTATTCCCTGTAAAGGCAGTTTTTGTTTGTATTTGTGCTTCTGTAGCATTTTCTTTGGTGAAGTAAACAGGCTTTGCTTAAAAAATTGGCTCAAGAATCAGTTTCCTTGTATTTTTTTTTTTTACTCTTCTCTCCTCCATGAACAGAGATTATGGAATTTAAAATTTAAGGCACACTGTTAGATTATCTGTGATACACTGTTATCTAATCCAATTTATGTATCATAGGCATTTCATTCTGTTTGTCCTACACTTTTAATTTAAAATGCTTCATGTCTTGCCTTTGGCTGAAACAAAAAAGGGCTACAAGGAAGTGTGCAGCCATTATTTGAAAAGATCACAGAGAACTTAAGAATCGAAGGATACAAGGTTAATAGTTCCCGTGGCTTTTCTTTTTTGGTTTCAGACATATTAATAAGTTTTCCTGTCCAGTTAAGTTTTGTTTGCCGACCTGAAGCATCCATGTTTATTTTTTCCCCTGTGAAAATACCTGTAGAATGTGACATGGTCAGTTCTTAGTATCCCTTTAAAAAACAAAACAAAAGCCTAGAAGATGGATTCATCTCAGCTTTTCATATAAAGTGTCTTCAGCAGGCTTCCAGGTTTTTTTTATAGGTCTTTTCTAACTTGAAAAGTTCACTCGTAGTTTCTCAACATGAAATTTTAACATGTGCATGTCAAAGCTTGAATGTTGCATTTCAGTATCAGTCCCACTATTGCCTTTCTACCTTTAGTTGCCTTGTTACACTTCAGAAGATCATACTACTTGATTAGGCTACAGAATGATCCTGGAATTTATAAAAATTCCTTGTTCACAGCAAATCATGCCTCTTTTCCAGGATCCACTTATCCTTATTAAGGAATGTCTTGGTTTTTATTTTTAGATGAATGACCTTGTAGTTGGTTCTATAGAAACACAAATCCTTTTCCTAAAAACATGCAACTGTGTGATACATTTAATTCTTGTTCTGTCCTCCTCATAGTTAATCACATTCAACAGTATATACAGTTTTTCTGTATAATTTATAAATTATTAAGAAGCATTGGGATGAGACCTCAGACTTTAAAAAATACTCCTAGAATCATCCCACTGAATTGTATCAGGTTTTGCTATTACTGACATTGTTATTCGTGCAGTATATGCTTTATTAATACTGCATGGTAGTATTTTTCTCTTGTAATGCTGTAGACTGTGAAATTAAAAATACCTACAAGAAGATGTTAGGTTTAGCAAGCTGCCTTTGTAAATTAAATCTCTTGCATAAGTTAAATAAAATGAAAATTTGTCTTCCCTGACAGGCTCTATCGTGTTAAAATATAGAATCATAAAATCATTTGGGATGGAAGTGACTTTAAAGATCATCTAGTTCAAACCTCCCTGCATGGGCAGGAACACATCCCACTAGACCAGCTTGCTTAAAGCCCCATCCAGCCTGGCCTTGAACACTTCCACTGATGGCAGATCCAGAGCTTCCTTGGGCATCCTCTTCCAGTGTCTTACATTGCTGACAATAAAGGAATTATCTAATCTAAATCTGCACTCTCATTGAGTTTGAGAACACTAATATACAATTTAAAATGTGGTACTATAGTGGCAGATGTTGGTGGGCTAAATTTGACAAAGGTTTTATTGTATCACCTTAGGTGCAAAGTTTAATCCTTGTTTGCATAATTAAATCTAGAAGAAAGAAGTGTTTTAATATATTTCAGACCACCTTTCATGAAAACCAAACAAATGAACAATACTTCTCACCATAAATGTTCCTTTTTCATGAACCAGCTGTGATTGTAAGCACCTTTAATGGCCTTGAAATCTCAGAGATTTCTTTTGCAGAGCAGTTTTCAGTATACACCAATAGGGCTTTAATACTACTTGTATAATTACAATAAGCGAAGAGTTATTTTTTTCCCAGGCTACATTTCTGTCATTTATGTACCAGCTGTAAGATCTATACAATTTTTTTTCTTAATTTAGTTTAATGTAATCTTACTAAACAGGCTTTTATGTATGAGAAGCAGCTAGCGAGCGCTGTGAAGCGTAGTACGTATCTCTAATAATAGCTGAAGGGTTTTTTTTGTGATTTTTTTTTTCTTTGTGAATGGTTTTAATACTTTCTAATGTACTAAAAATTATTATCTTTTATAATGCTTATATATTAGTATACAGAAGATTGCTTCTAGTCCTTTCTCTTTGCTCTAGTACTCCTTTTATTTGCTATTATTTGTTTAGAAATCTTCTATTTATGTAAATAATAACTTAATGCATTCCTTTCTATTCCTGCTCAGTCTTTTGCAGAGCAACTGAAACACAAAATGCTTTGTATCTTCTGTTTTTTAGAGGCTATAATATGATAATGCAAATTTAATGGTTTTGGAGACTTATTTTACAAAATAATTTACTGTAGTTATATTAGGTTTTTTTTCTGTGTCTGGTACAAAACTTAGAACTGTGCAACATCACAACAAGGAGTTGCATTAGATTTGATTCTTTGGTTCAGTTAAATTACAGTGGTTTTGATACACGCAGCATGTAAAATGAGAATTCTGAATATTTGTGGTTATCAACATCTTCCTACAACATATAGAGACTAATTGAAATCGGTGCACAAATTAAAGAACATTTTTCTGGCACAAGTTTGTTGGAGTTAAAATCTAATAGCTGTTAATTATGATCATACAAAGCCTATGTGCCCACATTGAGGAAAAAGAGCCTTTTTAGGTCAGATACTTTAGAACAGGTCTTTGGGAAGATAATAGGCTTGTCACAAGCCTGTAAGAAGTTGATACAATCAGTAGGAGTTATGCTAGTTATTTTTGAAAAATTTCTGAATTTGTTTTTTGAGGTTAGGAATTAGACTGAGAGGAAAAAGACATTATGCCTTGTGTACTTGGGAAATTAGTATCTCAAGTGTATTTAAATATTTCTTAATCACCATTTCTATACTTCTAAAGTAAAATCAGCTTTAATATCCACACTGTCTTTATAGTGCTTGTGTCTATCTCTATTATTTATATACTCTAGAAACTTTTGTCTAATCACAGTGAGTCTGTCCTAAAGGTACTAACTTTTAAAACTGCAATAAATAATTACAAAGTAACTGGAAATCCCTGACTTTACACAGTTGCAGTTCATTGCCCCACAGCAACCTTAAAATGATCTATTAAATCATTATTAGAAAGAATTAATTATACCAGAGAACTCTTAAGAGCTCAAATGTAATTTCATGGTTATAATTTTCTTGTCAGGTAATAAAACGAGATGAACTTGGCAAGGATCTGTCTGACTGCTCTCTGTTCGATTTGCTGAAATACGATGATTATAATAGCAACAAGCACCTAGCTCTGGAAGAATTCTACAGAGCTTTTCGTAAGTACAAAGATTAGCATATTCTTTCAGTTTTCTTTCTCTCACTTTGTTTTTCTAAAATGATATATATTTAAGTTTTTAAATCTCAATACATTTTGATGCTATACTTAAACAATGAGGATGATTTAACAGTCGTGATATTGTAGAGAACAACTTAGCAGAAATCTATGAGATCCATTAGTGTCCAGATTTCTGAGGGATTTTGGTAATGGAGAATGCCGATGTCCACTAATAAATTCTGTCTTGCACACAAGTGGGAAGTAGTGTGGGTCGGGGCTGAAAGAGTTAGAACGCTCCTGACACCCTGTATTTTTTAATGCTGATAAGACCATTTCTGACATGCTCTGCCGCAAATGAACCACTTCTACATAAAGCACCTACGAGGACTCAGGGGAAGATATAGATTTGTGGTATAGTTTTGCCAGGTATTTTTTTCTCTGAGTGCCAAAGGTGTCTCAGGACAAATGTGTACAGTACATAAGAACATCTTGACCAAGCCACTGGGCTATGGGTAACAGGGTATTGAGTAGCAGAAGAAAGATTTTGAGAGCTTTCATATAGCGTGTTACATGCAATAGAATATACGCCAATATATTTTGTTATGCAGATAAGAACTGATGATATTCAGTCTCATCTACCTCAAATCTCAGACCAAATCTTGAAGTCTGACTTTGGTTCCAATAGCTGTTGGTCCTCAACAACCTGGCAGCATGGCAGATCAAGTTTGTGCTTGGCTCTTCCAATAGTTAGAGTTCCATTGTCTAGTCAATGTGTCTTCATTTTGAATCGTTACCAGTAAAAGCCTGTTGCTCTAATTGTCTTGTACCTTATCTTTGCACAGCTGACAGCTCTTAGCAACTTTAGATGATGTTCAATGAAAAATGATCCAAAACTATTTAGAGAGTTTAAAATGGAAACTTAATTAATGAGTAATAGGGGAAAAGAAGGCTGCATGGAAAGCACTGAGAATAAACATTAAATTAATAATAAAGAAAGACTGCCTGGAAGTTTTCTAGTTTTTTCTATTGGATTTTATTTTTATTTCCCTGAAAGTCTTTCAGAAACTGATTTTGTGATACTGCTTAGCTGAACTGATGGCTTACTGCTCCTGAAAAACACTTGATCCTGCTTCCTGACATTTTCATTTTCTTTAGTAAAGCAATAAGAACATTAAAGATATTTATTACAAACCAAAACAAAACTGATTTTTCCAGAATTTTCTTTAAACATTGAATAATTTCACTTTTGCATTCCAAAGTGATAATTATGCTATATTGTAATTATACATTATAATTAAGAAATAACAGTTTTGTGCAGTATGGAAAAGATTATTTTTTTTCTCCAGTTTGGATACTTTAAAACATGAAGAACAAATCAAAATAGGAAGGATTTTTCAAAAAATGTTTCATAACAATATAATGTGTGAAAGATTATAACTGAATAATACTATTTGCAGGGGATGATCTTCTAAATAGTCTTATTTGTTATTTGAAGAGGTTTAAAAGATATAATTGAGTTTTGGGTTTTTTTTAAATAAGGAATGTTTGTAGAATTTTTTACCCCTCACATAGACCCCTGTCTGTTGAGCTTGACAATGTGTTTGTCTCTGATTTTTCATTCTTTTAATTTCACCTTCTTCATCTATGTTTAGAACCAAATCTCAATTTAATACCTGCTACCCCCAAGGGATTTGTCTGTATTCTTAACAGCAGTGAAGTGGTCAATTTGAGAACTGTGTTGAACTCCTCATTAAAGGTTGTCTGCCCAACTGCTGGAATAGGAGTGTCTGACATTTATTCACTCAGGAGGGCAGTGGAGAAAATTTGGGTTTGCAATCCTGGAAAAATGGATTCCATTCAAAACTGCTGCACAGAATTCAAAGGTTGTTTGTTTTAAGGGTTTTGTTTTTCCTCTTTTAAGTATGGAGAGGAAGTGGAAGAAAGAGCATAGAAGTAAAGAAGTTCTAATGCCTTCGTTTTTAAGACAGAATTATGTGAGCATTGAAATAATAGTACTAGGTGGTAGAAGTAGCAATATGGGTTACAGAAACTCTCCTTGTTGTCTTCTAATAATCTTTCTGAAATATATAATCTTGCAAATTTTCCTCCTTTAAAGTACCATCTAAAATATAACTGCAAAGCAGATTCTTCAGCTGGCCTTCATGTTGGATTGCAAGGCATACCACAAACAAGTAAATAGTAATAAATTATTGTTTATCACTCACTAGATGCAGAAGCACATGTAGACACTTCCCTTTGTGATTACAATAGAAAGAGTGGCACTAATTTAGATGCTTGAGTAGAACTAAATACAGTGGATATAAATAACAAGTTTATTGTAAATATTGGAACTAAATGCTTGATGTGACTACAGACATCCTGCATAAAATTATGAAAACAAAATAGCAATATCTTTCATAATTGTTTTCTATTGTGAGTGTAGAACTGGTTTTATGTTATGTTTTAAAAAGGGGCCATGTAAGGCCCTCACACTGAGGACTTGCGTGTAAAAATTACCATTAGATGTACAATAAATTGTCAGAATTAGTTGGCCAAAGCCAAATAACCTCATTCTATGGGTGATGCCTTATAGTTTCACTGTAACTACTTAGGCTTTCAGGTACCGCTCCAAACTGTTAACAATGCCTAGCCTGTTGTACAGCTGTTATTCAGCATCATGTATATTGTTGCTGTACATGCTTCATGTATTTAAAAGTACCTTCACTTTTGAAATACTGTTCAGGTCACAGAGATCAGATTCAGATTCTAAGCACTCCTTATTGCTGAGGTTTTTGTATGAAGTGATACATGAACCTGTAGTAAGAGGAGGTATTGCAGAAGTTGATCCGGACTGAAATTACAGAACTTCGGGAGTAGCTTTCAGGGGGTAAAGTGAAGCCAGTGATTAATTTGATTGTCAAACTTGGTGCTTTATTGTGTCTTAAATCATGTGGAAAGGAAGCAGCTTTACTTTTACTTGAATTTGTCAGAAGCAATTATTAGAGGTGCATGGTCAAAAATACTTTTTGAAATGTGTATCTTTATTTCCAAAGGAAATTAGACCAGAATTTAACAAAAAGCCAACCCTAAAAATGAAATCTATATTGAATTTTTTGTTGAATCTAATGAGACTTTCCATTGGCTTCTTTGTTATCCTCAAGTCCACAAAGTCGAACTCAGAAAATACTTACTGAATTTATACTTCCAATGACTTCAGTATGAGGTCCCAACTATTGTATTTAATGCGAAATCTGAGTCAGAGCTTTATAACTATGAGTCTTCAGTAGTAAAACAGGTTAACAAGTAGTAAAGGAAAGATTTTCTGAGGGAGGAAGAGATATTGCTCTGTCTCCTGCTACCATTAATTCCTTTTCAGCAACAACTAGCGTGTATCAGATTGTTCCAGAGGGTATTATATTTCAGCAATAACCTCTGAAAATACCACTTAACATCATACTGAGTAGGAGCTATTGAACTTAGTGGTAATATTTTTTTACTCAACCTAATCTATCTTTTTAATTCCTACCTCTGCTACATGTATTTTCAACTTAGACATTCTCAGCTGGAAAACAATGCAGCCTCTTCTTTTGAGTAGGCAGAATTTAAAACTGATAATTTCAAAAAAATATTTACAGCATTAAATGTTGTTTCAGAGATTGAAGTAGTCTGCCTGATGTTTCTCACATGTCACTAAGTCATAATCAATTCATTTTGATGCCAAGTGATTTCCAAATTATGATACTTGTGCTTATTTGGTGCTTCCCCATTAAGACTGTTTATGTTTTTGTGGGTTTTTTGGTAGTAGTATTTTGTTTGTTCTATTTTGGTTTTAGATGTTTTTTATTGTAATGTTCTTGATTAAAAAAGGTCTCTGGGTAAAAAGGGAGCTTTAAAAAAATAAATAAAAATCTTAAGTATTACTGATTGGCAATGTAGAAATCTTCTGGGAAATGCGAAGCTGTTGGTATACTTTACCTGTTCAGATCTGGATCAATGTAGGAGATAACCAGTTTTAACATACCTTCTTTATAGCTCACATTCAAAGCATGTTAATACTTAAACAGTATCATGCAGCCCAAGAGGGGTTTTTTTTGTTTTTCTCTTTTAAAATTTGGCCTGATTTTGCCTGCCTTCTGGGTATACGCAAAATATTTAATTAAGGTACTGCAAGATCAGATATTCTACATGCTTGTCATAAAATTCTCATGAAGTATGGTGCTTATCATTTTATGTAGCCCTGCTACTGTCTCTCCTTGCACTGACTTGGGTAGTGTAAAAATTGGATAAAAAGTGTCAGAATGAACAAAATCACATGTAAGTGTGAAGAAGCTGCTGTTTCTAAGAACAGATATCTAGAAATATAGTATTAATTAAACATGGTTGCATTGTGATGCTACATAAAAGAGTTGCAGTTCTGTAAATTTAGAATAAAACTTTTTGCTAAGGCCAGATGCCAAAGTTTTTTCTTCATGTTTTGGGGGAATCAAGTAACAAATTTAAGCTGCATTAGGCTTGCATGAGTTAATTAAATATTTATTTGCCTATCATGAAATAATTAAAAATATTAGGAGATATTTTTTTTTAGGAATCTTGAGTTCTGCTGACCTCCAGTGCTATCAATTGACTTCTTTAGGAAACAAAACAGAGAAAACAGGGTGTGTTAGTCCCAATTTAAGACGTGGGTGAAATGTTCCCAACTGTGTCTTGGCTATTTCCTATATGTCTAGGAAGTTGTTTTATTTTTGTTACAGCTGAATGGACTAATTTAAAATTCAGTTAATAAAAAGAGATGCATGTTGAAGTAAACAGTCTGTTAGTTCAGCTTTACATTTAAATAATAAAGTATTTTGAAAATTGAAAGACTCTCAGAAGCACTGTTAACTAGAAATTTGAGAAAACTTTGCTGTTATGTGATAAGACTCAGAGGTAATTTCTCAGTTGTGCTTAAGAAACAGAAAAAAAGGGAAGAAAAGGTGGTTCTAATTCATTTTCCCAGGACAT